AATTACTATCTACCTATATCACAATAAAAGAGATAGTAATTTTACAGTATCGAAATTAATCAATACTTTCATATACACATTACATCCAAACTTTTGATGTATCTTTTGATCAGTACTCCACCAAACTCTTACTAATACTCCAAATTTATCAACTATAAAAATCTATCTCAACAAAATTCCTGAACTGAAAACTCTTAACTATATTAATAGGCTGGTCAAAATTCCCTTCAATAGGTTTATCAATGAATGCAATACTCTTATAACAACAAAAAATTTTACTGCTCTGTGGTTTAAACTAAAAAACCATCAACTATTATCCAACACCCTTCCTAGAATTAATACACCAGTTCTCCAATGTTTCCTTTCAATAATTACACCTTTACTACTAATTAATAATCCTATATAACAAGTATTATACACTGGATTAAATTCATAAATTATTATATCAACTTATTCGACATACTTATTAGTAAATCAGCTATCTATAAACCTTCTTTTTTCAAGGAAATGGAAACTATCATCAAGGCGAACAACAAGTTAAAAAGCTCTAATCAACTAAAATACAGAGCTCTCTTCACATTTTGGACTAAGCTCCTTGTCAATCAGCTTTCTACTAGAATTAATCTTTATAAACAGTATTCTATCCACTATCCTGACAACCTATACCCATGATGTGATACATATCCAGAAGATTTGTTGCACATTTTCTCATATGTACACATCAGGCCACTAATTACTAAAAAAAAATTCAAACCGGAAAACCACATTCTGAATTTCAACCCCAAAGGCATCAAAGTCACCAACTTCATCAGCACTCTTAAGTTAACATCAAACATCCTATTAAACCTAGCCATCTGAAAATTTAACTCCTCTTTCAGCTCACTTGAAAAAAAGGGAAGATATCTCTAACTACACACTTAAAATTCTCTACAAGGCTTGGAAAATGTGATCTGTCACAGCAACAACCTCACCAGCATCTGGCATAAAATGGAAAAAAATGCCTAGTTCCAAAATACCAAATCTGAACATAAATGATAATACCACATTCAACAAATTTTAAATCTGTTAAACACCTCACTAAACTACACTGACAAATCAATTTTTATCCCAACAGTAATATCATCATTCTGAACAGGCATTAACCATTCAGCACTATTGGTATAAACCCACCCCTGAGATGATACCTGACATCAATAGACTTATTGTGATAGGTTACAATTAATTTACTTCTGTAAAGATTGTTAATGTAATGACAGTAAATTTTTATTTAAATAAAGTCTCACATTTAATGCTTATTCATGATAAAAAAAAAATTATAATTGTATTTTTTAACAATTAGCTTTTTTTCTCATAAATTCGAAGACTATGACTAAAGGATGAATAAATCGGGTTAAATATTCATTTTCACACACAGTAGGATAAAGTATAAAAGAACCTTTTTTCCAGCGCATTTACACAAGAGATTGCATATTAAAAAATCAATCGTTAATATCTTGATCCACAATAAGATCTCTTAATAAAATTACTGCACATCACTCTATTTATATCATGTCCAATTTGACATTATTCAACTCTTCGGGAAGCATGCCATTTTTGACCTTATCCGCTGTTTTTTTACTTGTTAGCCCAGTGATATTCATGGGATTCGCCGTCAAATATCAAACAGAAAATCTGATAAACTCTGCACGTGCCATCGAAATTGTCGACGATCGTGATACACCGGAAATAGAAAAATCCTTTACTGAATTTAACGATAAGCTCGCCGCAAAAGTTTTCACGAGTAATTCCAATTTTAAATTCACATTCATTGCGGAAATCCGTAAAATTATGCCGAAATCGATGGTAAACTTACTGCGGAAGCCGAAAAAAAACAAGGCACGTGATGATGACTTCAATAGGAAGTTCCAATTTATCTGGAATATTAGATATTACTTCAGACATTAAAATTCGCTTTAAACAACAATTTGATCGACTTTTGAAGGCGAGAAATTATACTTATGATGAGATGTGCTTCTCGGTAGTAATTGATATTTGTAGTCTTGGAGGAAATATTATGATTTCAACAGTGAAAATTTTTTATAATGGTGTTAGTGGTAGTAAAGTTAGCACAATTAATCAGATAAACGCATGGGTAGTTTTATTAATAATATTTTTTATTAGTTTAATTTTTTTTTTACATAGCCGGCCGGCCCTTTCTCATGTATTACTTTGCAATGCTTTGATTGATTTTTAAAATGTGCATTCTGCAAATGTAAATATCTATACATGTGCTATTCAGATGATTATTAACTCTCATGACAGTAAACTAAATGATTCCCGATTTATACTTTCATTTGAGAGAAATACATGATAATGTCGTTATGCGTGTAAACAATTGAACTAAATGATTCCCGATTTATACTTTCATTATGCGTGTAAACAATTAAACTAAATGATTCCCGATTTATACTTTCATTATGCGTGTAAACAATTGAACTAAATGATTCCCGATTTATACTTTCATTTGAGAGAAATACATGATAGCGTCATTATGCGCGTAAAACAATTGAACTAAATGATTCCCATTTTATACTTTCATTTGAGATAATCTCCAACACTGTATCTAAGACGATATTTACAATGTTTTCCGACTTTGAGTAAAAGATAATCATGTCATCTCTGATAATCATCTTTTGTGCATTAAAACAGAAGGTATTTAAAGAAATGATTCCTTGGTTTACATCTTCAACATTGTTAGAAGACTAAAAATTTATTTCTAATGAGTACTTCTGAATCGGCTGGCAAAAGACGTCACAATGAAAATATTCAAAGAAGATGAAGACAATGAGCCTTCTTCAACATCAACATGGCCTATTGATCGCCTAAATGAAGATAATACAGAAATCGAACCAATAAAACGGGTTGTTGACATCGTGTATATCCCTGAGGGTACGACACCACCTAGTTGTTACCAGTTTGAGCGTCAAGATGAGCCAGAAAATATGCGTTTTGTTGGCGACCAAGTGCGTGACAATCCATATACCCCCCATCAACTGAAACTAAGTCTCCTGATTATTCTGTGACTGTCGGGCTCGATTTCGGCGTGTTTTCTTTCTCAGCAACAGCAGAACCAAAGAAATGAAAAATTCTTCCCATTTTTTTAAAAATATTTTATTTTTAGTGAGATGCATATATTTTTTTATCTTAATTATTGTTATTATTATTAAGATTTGCCCTTATATTTTAAAGTGTACTGTACATGGCATGTATATACGTAATAAAGCGCAGTATTTTTATAACAGGGACTATCTAATTAGCTAATCATCTCGTGATTTATGGAAATTCGCCAGGAGGGAGATCACATGTGATACAATTTTTACTTTAGCCGTCTATGGTTATTGGATCTAGTTAACAGTCATGACATTACATCTGTTTAATTTGAATAAAAATGAATCTGATATTTATTATAATATGCTTGCTATAAATTGATATAAGTCTAAAAACGCTAAAAAAACGTTATAAATCGCTAAATCCTGTAGTAGTGTAGGCGTTAAACAATCTGCAATATAGGTATAGTGGTGAAACACAGAAATGTGGTGTTCTCGTGTTTGTTATCCATTTAAGAAATTTCTTAAATATAACCCAAATACTTTTCGAAGAATGGATTTATCCAAAAGATAGGGAATTTAAAACTGGGAGACGCTCATTTCATATTTATTGCACTGTATGCGACTCCTTAGTAATTATCCGTGAAAATACCATCGAATGTGGCAATGATCATCTGAAGAAATATATTACTAAAACCGCTAAAATGCATTCTAATTCTGTACGAAAGAACATGAAAAAAGGAGGAAGTGTATCAATGCTCAGTTCCGATGAAGTTGATGAGATTTATCTAGCACATTCGGTTATTTACAGTAAAGGTTTGGCTCATTATAGTTATGAATATTCACATGAAGGTAGGAAAAAGATTGTAAATCGTTTAATCGATAGTGCAGAAGTTATCCAACGGGCTTGGAGAGTTTTCAAGTTGAGACCTGAAACATGGGCGAAACGAGTTTGGAATATGGTAAGAAATCATAACACTCCCAATGAAAAGAAGTTTTTAGGAATAGATCTTAGCATTAAAAAAGCTCCTGATAATTATATAGCAAATAATGTCTTGTATCATATATAGTTGCTTTTATAGAATTACATCTGCAAGGCTATAGAACCATTGAATATTCAAGGTGGACTTATATGTTAAATCCTGAATATTATCGTATTAAAATACCTCAACAATGGCAATGAAAAATTTGATAGAAGTTCAGAATATGTACGATATAAATGTAAATTGGCAGGAAAACATTATCAATATAATTTACTAGATATTGACTATTATAAAACTAGAATATTAGTATCAATGGAGAGTATATTACTATAGATTTCTCAGATTCGAACAATAATTATAAGTATGTGCAACGAATTTTTCGAAGTATTCTTGTAAATTATTATAATCATAATACAATAAATTAATTTATTCACATTGTAACGGTGTATCGGCGAGTCTGTCGCTCACTCTGGCAGAGATTCGCGTAACCGTTACTAGGGTAAGTAAATGAAAGGTGATTTGAGGCGTGTTTTATTTGACCGAGTCTTTATTAATTTTCTTTTACTCGCTATGACTATCTGTTTCACGACTGTTCTCTATCTCTTACATTTTTTCATATTATTTATACTTCTCTTTTGTTACATCTGGCTATGACGTCTTGGCTATGGAATAATAAGCGCTAATAATAATGTCATGACTAAGCTGGATGTCATAATTCTTTTTACAATCCTCCCCGACTCTCTCTTTATTACCTAATATTTCATAGTCGTCGGGGTACTAACGCGACAATAGGTCACGTGACGGACGTCGCGTTCCAATTTTACCTGTTACAACATATAAACCGATCCACCAAAATATTTCGAATTTTTCCTTACAACATTTAGCAGAATAATATTTAGCGAAATAACATTTATTAATATGTATAATTGCTCCGGAGGGACGAGATATTTCTATTATATTCCGAGTAGAATAGTATCTATATACGTGCCAGGTTTTGTGCGGTCGAGCAAAAAAAAAGTTCGAATATGCAATGTGAGATCTATAATGCTCATTTTGCATGTCTTACTCTTAAACATAAAAAAATGGCGTAAAGTGCCTCGCATATTTCTCTTATCTCTCCCCCCAGCTGTGAGAAATGGTGGTATTTAAAAGAGTGGTATGGAAAATTTATGTTTAAGTCATTGAAAACTCCACATTATAACTTACATTTTTATTAATATTTTTTACTATGTCAAATTTAGTGGCTAATGTTGAAACTCTTTTATTACAAGAATCATTTGATACTCTTTATAGGGGTCTGTTATTTATTTGACAATAGAGGATAATACCCTTCCTCCATATAATGATGTACGAAAAATAGTTGACCGAGCAGTCATTTCATCTTTAACAAAAGTAAAAGATCTTGAGCGAAGAACTAAGGTGTTAGAAATATTACCACAGGTATGATGAAAATCAGATATTTATTATTTATCTACGTCTTCAATAATGAGCCTATAGTAGATGTGGTTTTAAGTTTTGATATGTCATAACTAAAGGTTGGGAAGTGCTGACCCGGAAGAACAATGTCCTCTAGATGTCGAGGTTTCTGCTCCTCTCTGACAGTGCGTAACTATTCAGCCAGAAAAATGGCATATAAAACACATCTTAGAACACACGCGTGGAGATTGTATATAATTCATAAATTTAGGTTGGACTAATGTTCCGGTACTTTTTTATTGCATATACTCCCATGTATGCATCTTTGTGTTGTCCTTAATGCTCTACTAGGTTTTACATATGAACAATTTTATATGTGATAGTAGTATCTTGTTTAAATCTTCTTAATTCTCAAATCCAAAAATGGTAAAGTTTCTTCTTTTTCTATTTTATTGTTGGCTAGAATATAAACCTCCTACCAAAAGTCTTCGGCAGTTCATGATTGGCCAATAAAATTCTATCATGTTAAATTTTTTTAAATAGTATTTTTCCTTATAGATCTAACTAAATTTAAAGTACTTTTTTTTCTCAAATAGCTAGAAACCAAATTTTTTTAAAAATAAATTATTTTAGTCACTTATCCTATGCATTTCTTGAAAAATGGCAAGTCATTGTGAATTTCATGGTGCTACTGATATTTCTAAAATTCTTGAAATATCTAGAACTACTTGTCAGAATATTATAAATAATTTTTGTAAAAAGGGCCTTACAGATATTACTAATTGTTCTGGGAGACCGCCTGTTTTGCCTAGCCATAAAGAATATACTCTTATATATCAAGCCAAAGAAATAGAAAAGATTCTCTTGAAGAAATTACTGAATATTTTAACAAACTTAATCTTATCCATATTAGTATATGTACAGCTAGACATGTGTTGCATAAGCATAATTATTGGGAAAAAACCCCATTTATTTCAGAGAATAATAGAAAAAAATGACTTAAATGATATCAAGTACATAAATTCTGAAATAAAAAAAATGAAATAATATTATTTGAAGTGATGAATCCAGATTTCTTCTATTTTGAAAATAATAAATAGCAATGGATTTGGCATAAATCCCATAAAAAATAAAACTTGAATTGTTCAGTTCCTACAGTAAAATCTGGCAATAATAAAATAATAGTCTGGAGTTGTTTTGTTAGAAATAAGCTAGGTTGTTGAAGAAAAATATTACAGGTGAGATATATAAAAATTTACTAGAAACATATTTATTATCTTATATAGAAAGCTTAGATAAAAATATTAATTTTACCTTTTGAGATAATAATACTCCTATACATAGAGCAACTGCAGTAGTTAAATAAAAAGAGGAAAATTTGATATCTTCTATTCCATGGCCTGCTCAAAACCCAGATCTTAATCTAATTGAGGATCATCTTGAAAGGAAAATGTATGATTACAAATTTTTATTAAAAAATAAGAAAGAACTTATTGCCATTTTGAAGAAAGAATGGTTGAAAATTGATGAAAATGTTTTAGAAAATTTGATAAAGAGCATGCCATATAGAGTTAATGCTATAATAGATAATAAAAAAATCCCACAATGTATTTAATACTATTTAAAAAATTTCATAATTAGATTATTCAAGTGATATAAATTCTATTAAATATTATAAAGAAAGTTGTTACAATTATTTGATTTGAAATTTTGCAATTTTTTTTAAAAATCTTGATTATATAATACTGCCAAAAACTTTTGATAGGGGTGTTGATTGTCTTGATCTTAAAATGCTTTGTTATACTTATTATATAAGAAATTAAAATAGATTTTCCAATTTTATATAGTCTAAAAGTTATTTCATTGCATTTTGCCAATGTTGCTTGATAATTTTCCAGTATTGCAATTCTTGCTATAAAGTCAACCATTGGTATTGATTATATCTTATAAATATTTGTTCTAATGGAATTGAAGGAGAAGATGATATTATTATAGTTATAATTTCCCTTAATGAATCTTAAGGATTCTATTCTTTATATTTATTAAGTATACTATAAATTTTCTTAGATGAGATATATAAAGAAATGTCTAAAAGTTTTATTTGGATATGTTTTTTCTTTTATCTATAAGGATAATGAGATTTTAAAAAGTATTTATTGTTTGGATTGTTAGTAGTAATAATAATATTTTATTTCTTAATATATTCTGATAGTTGTTGCTTATATTTGTATATATCTGTTTATATTATTAAAGTATAGGATTATTCATTTGTTTTTATTAGTTGCTAATATCTGTATACCTTGTATTTCAATGGTATACCAAGCTTGTTAACTATATATTGAAACTGTTTTTCTCTACTGATATATGAAGTTAAGTTGCTTTTGATCTATAGTTAGACTTTACTTGAATAATTAGTTAGGTTGAAATAATTAATACTAATATAGCATATTCATCAATAGCCAATAGCCTCTATACAGTATATAATTAAAAAAAATGAAAAAATTGCTCAATTAAAGAAAATGTTTTTTGTTAATCTAAAATATCACTGCTAGTCCTTTATCAAAACTGTTACTTCAACTTAATCTCTGTGGTTCTAAGGTATAAAAATTTTTTATTTTTTAAGAAAGTAAAAGAAATAAGTAAAAAAGAAAAGAAAAGTTTGTACTGGTAAAATAAAAACATATCTAAATCAATTACCAGTCTAATGGGAATCTTTTTTAATTTTGAAGAGAAAAGAAACTAGTATAAGAGAGGTGAGGAAAGACTTCAAGTCACTATTTATTAAAAAAATATTTTGATATTTTATTCTTTCACCATTATTTAATTGCATCATCAGTTGTAGTATAATATAACATAAAACATATAGGAGTATATATCTTATTTATATTTTTTTTATATATCAATTAATCAGTTCAAAATTTCAGCCAATTATCAATTAGAATTTTTAATGTAACAAAAAATTTAAAATTAAGCTAAGATAGGCAAAATTCTTCAAAAAAATCAAAAAAAATTTTGACATACTTGAAAGCACTATTATAAACATGTATAACTGATAAAAAAAGATTATATACCTGAATAGGTAGGCTTCTATTAGCTTATTCATCTGTCTCAAACAATAGGTATTCATTTATAGTAGACTTAAAGTTCTTATGGAACTTGGAAAATATATTCACTAATAGATTCAACTAGCTTATTCACTTGACTTAGACATTAGATATTCACTTATAATGGATCCAAGATTTTTATAAAGCTTGAAAAATATATTCACTAGTGATTTATTTTCTAAAGTTTCAAATCTAAGCAGAGTATAATAGAAAGTGTTTTTTTAACAGGTTTTTTTTTCTGGTAAGATGTTTTTACCATAAATTAAATAAATAAAATTTTATTTATTTTGTTATTGAAATATACAAAATTTTTAAAAAAGGAAAGATAAACAAGTAAAAGAGGATTAGCTTTCAAAAAGTAAGATTTTTAAGAAAAGTATATAGACTTTATTATCAAAAATAAAAATATTTTTGAGAACATCTGTTTTTTTAAGTTGACAAAGGAATCAATAGAAATAGTTTTTAAATATATGTAAATTTAATAGCTTTATTTATATAATTATTTATATTATTAATATATATAATATATAATATATATTATTAATAAAAAAATTTAATAATTATAAATATATAATATAAATTTATATAATATATTTATATTTGCTATATTAATAATTAATAGTTTGATTATATAAACTTCTAGATTCATTAAGTAATAGAGAA